TGTGTGTGTCTGTGTGTGTGGAAACAGTGCTGATCCATGTGTTTGAGATAAAGCAAGACAAGTGACTTTTTTTGGGTTTTTTCTATTTTATTTTTTTTTGTTTTTGGAAAAAGATCTAACTCTGTATCACTCAAGGACCCACTACTCCTTCTTCTTGTGTCAGTGACGACTCACTCGTCAGGGTGAGTGCTGCTGAACTCCCAGTTTGACTTTCTCACTCTCTCTCCTGCTCTTGCACGCTTTTTTCCTTCTCTTCCGTGTTGTCTCTCTCTTGATCTCTTTCATGTCCTGCTCTCTCAGATCTGTCTCTGCGATTTGACATTCTATTATTGATCTTTTACTCTTTAGACCTCTGTCCACAACTGTCTGTCTCTGTGTGTGTGTGTGTATGCTCACTTTTTCCCCTGGGCATTCAAAGTCTGTGCATGTGCATGAGACAGGCTTAAACAAGATGAAACAAAAATCTTTCCTAACAGAAGCCTTGCCTGCATCTGTGCATATTTGACAAACTATTTTTATAAAAACTTTCCCTGCACAGGACAGATTTATCTGACAGCAGACTTGTACTCCTTTTCAGTTAATTATCCTATTGCTCAAACTTGGACAAGTAGCCACTCATTCGCTGCCATAAGCGTGGAAGTTTTTTCTATTTTTACAAAAAAAAAAAAGTAAATATGAAACTGAAGCTGTTCCACAACAGTGAAAATGACATCATCATCCACCGTCCCAGTCAAGTCATCTCTACCCACAGATGGCTATTTATGGTGGTGTCCACCCTTCAAAACACTACCATTCACTGAAATATGCGCCTTGTGGTTTGAATTGCAGTCTATTTGAGGTCTTTTCATTAAGCCTGGTATCCTGTTTCTCACGTCAAGGTTTATGAACCTATGAGCGTGCAGTGGTTTTCATCCCAGCTGTGGAAGCGAAGGCTAGAGCTCGAACCTCAATACTTCTTCAGTACGGACCAAACTGTGTGTGTAGCCTCCAGTAAAGTTGTCATTGAATACTTTGTCAGATTATTAGGCTTCTTTACTTTTCCTTTATGGAAGTTTTACATTTACATGAGGAAATATTTGATCAAAGTTCCATATTTAAAGGACCAATGTGTCAGTGGCATCTAACGGCGGAGTTGCAGTTTGCAACTACCTCACTTCACCTTCCCCTTTCAAGCACATAAGAGAGAATAGGGTGGCCATGAAACGTGACAGGTTTGTCCGTTCTGGGCTACTGTAGAGTGGGTAAAAATGAAAAAAAGGGTTAAACACATTTATATTCCCATCAATACGGTATTGAAAAAAAGTATTGTTTGGTATTTGTACAACTCTCTGGTGTCATACCGATGTACAAACACACAGCCTCACTGCTGGCCTGTGTGTATGTTTTAGTATCTGTTTACATTAAGGCTTTTTGTGCATAAGTGAATCCGTAATTTGTATCTTATTGTCTTGCAAATTACATTTGCATGTTCTTTAATAGCTAATGGACAATTGTGTACTCTCATCAATGATTCAGTGTGATACCTGCCTCCCTGAAGCTTCAAGAGATGGCTGTGTTTTGTTTTGATTTCTGATTCATCTTTACAACCTTCACACATCAAATCACCACAAATTCCAGTTCATTACAATTTTGGTCTAATAATAATAACAGCACAAGTTAATAGCTGAGATCTGAGAATGTTGCTAGAAACAAGTCAGACTTTGCAAGAAACGCATGCGGTCAGATAATTAAAGCAAAAGGTAAGATTATTATCCAAACTCTGGTGTAAACAGCTATCACAGTTTACACACCCACTCTCTTCAGAGAGTTCAGTTTTGAACAGCTTTTGATTTTATTGCAAAAAAAATCTGGCATTTTAGGGAGCAACAATCCCCAAAAAAAGTCAGTGAAATCCTGGAGGGACTGCCTAGAATATATTAGTGTCTTATTTTGTGTTTGAAATAGGCTGAGTGAAAAAAAAATTGTAATACTTATCGTTAGTTATCATACTGACCGGGGCATACAGATTCACATATTCTGCCGAGGGACAGACAAAATCAGTACGAATCTGATTAGGAACTCATTGGTTTTCCAAAACAACCCAATTTTTGTCTAATCCAATTTTCCATCCATAAACTAAATTACTTTCATTCATATTATCCACACCCTGCCCGCCAGACTCCTGTGTATGTTAATGATTAATTCACTTTTGTCTGTTCTTGAATTCTTACTCAGTTCAGTGAAACAGCCTCCTACAATAACTATTGTGAGCTAATCTGAAGATCTGAATGTACAAACCTGGATGCCACAGCTTCCAAAAACCTGATTGTTACACTAAACCAATGCACAGAACAGAAAGATCTGTTTTTATGTTTGCGCGGGTGTGTGCATGACTGTGTAGATATCTGCACGGGCACACCTTCTCGTATAGTTGATGTCATACCAAGTTATTCACCCATAGTTTGTGTTTCAGAACTCCTTTATAAATGCACACACAAAGCTAAAAGATTCTCCAGGTAAACATTCTGACACACAGCCTGTCTTGTCCTTTCATACTCATTCACATGTGCGCTCTGAAGCAATGAAGCGGCTATTGGATTACCAGTGTGGCTGTTATCCTATTACAAGACAGAGGTTGTAAGCTGTCATCTGTGTATGATAGCAGACAGTCTAATCCACGTGAAGTGTGTCTCACCCACTCAGACACACACACACACACACACACAATCAGTACGCGTACACACATACGGTTCCACATACTGCTGTGACATGTGTTCACACCTGTACATTCCTCGTCTTGAATTTCACTCAGAGCGTTTACAAAACATTACATCCATCCCGTCTACAGATTGAGAAGGCAGGGCTGGCGTATGCTTTGGTTTTTATAAGTAGTGAGTTTTTGGATTAGGTTTGGGGTTGGGAGGTCATCATTGTTAGTACAGGAGAAGATTGGTTAGGGGTAAGATGGCAGATCGGTGAGAGTGCTATAAGGATGAGCAGATTTTAAATTCAAATTATCTCTTTGCTTATAGCTTTAGGCCCAATGCTGCTTAAGTAACCGATATCTTGACACCAGCAAGTAAACTTTGAACTCCCCCTCCTCCAGCACTGAGCCTTGGCAAGGAGTGCCTGCTAGTGTATTTATGAGTTATGAGGTGCTTAAAAGACAGCCTGCAGGTGAGGAATAGGTGAATATGTATGCTTTGCACATCTATATACAAGTACAGACCCACACAAGAACTCTGGCTGAGCAAAACAGATGTACAGTATATCTTTTTTTAAAGTCATATCTGTGTTTTCAGTTTAGTTTTATGACTGTTTTTACAGCCCCCTTATTGCAGTTACTGCTGTGACTCACTGGGCATGGACTAAAATAAATTTCCCTCTGACAAAAAAGGACTGCATCTCCTTTTTTTTTTTTTTTTGCCAGACATAAAGGCTGTCTAAGAAGTCTTGTGAATAAAACTGTTTTTCTGCTGTCAGTGAACGTGCCCGAGTGTCTTTTGATCGGCAAGAAGCCGGTGTAAAAATAGCCAGAATAGTGTTTTCGTCATCAGTTCTGTGAGGAGCCGAGACAGGCTGCCCACCATGCAGCCTGCTGTGTACCTGCTGCAAGACACAGCTGAAAGGGAGCTGCCACTGGCCTGATTACAACCTGCTTTAGATGTGACAAGATGTCTTAACTTTCTGCCCTGGAAGGCTCTCCCTCCAGTCTTGTAAGCCTCAGCAACACATGAATGCTGATTATATCAACCCAGATGTGCTCCTGTTTGTAAGTACATGTAGCTTACTGAGCATCGCAATCAGTCCCTTTTTAGCAAAAATGTGCACCCGACTGCTTGATGCATTCAAAATTGTAGGAATGTAAAGCAACCGTTGTTTTATCTTAGTGAGGTCAGTCATTGATTCCTCTCATGCCTTTATGATTGTCAGCCTCATATGCTGTTTGGCATGTTCAAGGTCCTATGAGGAAGTTACCCTTTTAAATATTGGTTTTGTTATTACAGAGCAGAGCAGATGTCACAAAGGGGTGATAATGATCAAGAATGTGTTGTGGGTGGTAAGCATTTCAACACATGCATTATCAGAGACGTTTGCGTTGACTACAGCAAACCATTACATGGGAATGCATGTCAGTAAATCCAAAGTATGTGTGAAGAGGTAGATGACCCTGTGTAGATGTGAAACAGTTGATTCAATAATATTGATAATATAATTGATTGACACAAAATTAAATGGCAGCTATTTTGCTAATTGTTTGAATCACGCCAGTTAAAAATGGCATAAATCCAAATGACTTTGGTGATCTACTGACTTTTCTTCTAGCGCCACCCTGAGGTTGATAATTGTGGTTTTAGGTACCGATAATGGGTTGTCCAATGGCTGATGCTAACATCGTTCCACAGCAGCCACACTGACGAGACCGCCTGCAGATGTGTCTCAAGACTTTAATCTTACTTAATACTTGTGTTAAGCGAAGTTTCTGAACAACTATTGGATGGATTACCAATAAATGTTAGCATGCTGACGTTAGTATTTAGCTTCAAGTCCCACTGTGCCTAAGTAGATCTTCACAGAGCAGCTAGCCTGGCTGTAGACTCTTACATTAGACATTAGACCTTTTCCAACTTCTCAAATGTGATGGTTTTCTGCTTGTCTTTGTCTATTATGATAGTACACTAAGTATCTCTTGGTTTTTGACTGTTGGTCAAACTAAACAAACAATCCGAAGGCCTGTTTTTGGGCTCTGTGAAACTGTAGTGGACAATTTTCTGGATTATTTTCTGATTGTTCAAATAGTTGTAATATTAAGCAATAATTCACTGTTTCTGTTTGTTTGTGCAGTAATTTTGCACATAACTTTTACAGTTCTTTATTGTATTCTTTTTATTAGTTTACACTGCTTCTTGTTAGTGTTTTGCTTCTTGAGGCAATGCAAGTGTGTAATGCAGGTTCAGCTGCCAGGATGGTCATATAGATGTCACTGAGAGCGTCTTTGAGGCAGTCAGACTCTTTATCACCTGAGAAGTTTAATGAAGCTCTTCGTCAGGTACATTCCAGTGTGACAGCATGAGGCTCTCTGCGATGGCCTCAGGGTAGAAGCTGAGATGTGAAAGAGTAAACCGAGACACAAAGTCACGATTCCCACCTGTGCATTTCTGTTACTCTGAGATTCTCCTTTTTTTTTTTTTTTCTTTAACTAGTTTTTCTCCCGGCAGTTTAATTCCCTGCTCAGCGTTTTTTTCCAGCCACACCTGCATCATGCTAACCAAATGCTGTTATTTTTACTTCATTCACTGTGATGTCACTCTGTTAACATCGTGGTTGTATTTATTTAGCCATCATCTGAAAGGCCAGCGGGGCAGTCCACATAAATCAGGAGAATGATGTCATTGTTGTTAAAGACGGGAATGGTTTTGGGCTTGTTTCCTCTTCTGTTTTGTTGTCTTGCTTTGCCCTATTTTCATTGCTTCGCTCTCTCTCTGTCTGTGTCTGGACTGCTACTCGATGTAGTTGTTTGGGTCAATTTTTTGTGTTAACATCTTGTCCATCAACCTCCTCCACCCTTAATACATAAGTAATGATCATGCAGCAGGCAGGCAGGGAGCCAGGCAGAATAGCAGAGCAGACATGTTGGCTGGCCAGGCCTTGTCCCAGTGGACCAGAGCCACTTATCCCTCACAATAATGACATATGCATTGACTAGCTTTAAGGAAAGTGGCTAAAAGGAGACGTCAAATTTTGGATAGTCTCTGGTTTTTTTTTCTGTGTATTTATTTACTGTTTTATAATTGACTGAGCAACTGATTTTATTTGCATAATGTCCTAAAAACAGCCTATTTCATATAAACATTATATTATCTGGCTAAAAAATATTAATCCAGGATAACACTGAAAAGTCACAATAATACTGACATTATTAAACAAGCCATCTGTTTGTAACACAAATATAGTTACAATCATGACTGTAAATGTTGTCATTTATAACCCATAATATGGAAAGAATAAACAGTCACTCCATAACTAACCTGTTTTCATACATCCTTAAGCCATAAACAAGGTTTTCAAACTTTTAACTTAAAGTCTGTTCCACTTTACAGCATCAATATTTTGGAGACATTTTCCAAACATTTTTTTTTTGTTGAAACCTTTCCTTGATCTCTAAAGAAACAGTTTTCTCAACCTTGATACAAATAATACATTTAAAATGACTCAACTCAGCGTGGTTTTAAGGATTCAGCATGAGCAGGTTTCCAATGAAAATATATTTTTAGATGTGTAACTCTTTATCTTTAGGACACTTTGAAGTACTGACAAAAAGAGGAAGTCATCATCATGCAAACACGCTAGATAATGATGTGTGTTGTTACGTAGTACCTTAGACGTTCACCAGACACACATTGACCTAAATTACATCCCGTAAAATTAATAAATGTCTGTGCCTGAATGCTTGTTCTATTACATAGTGCAATGTGTTAAAATGTACAGACATGACAACATACTTTATTCCCAAATTAAGTGACATGTTATTTACCAGCAACTTGTTTCACCATATTTTTATTCATGTGGGAAGTAATCAGAATTAGAGGAGCTAACAAGTAAAGAAAAAACTCACGTGATTAACAAATAGTGGGAATAAAAGTGGGACTAAAATAATACCCTGTGGAACACCGCAAGATATTATGTATTTTTACCTGAGACAAAAAAATATACACAAATATCTATAATTTGAGAAAGAATGTGAGTTCTTAAGGTTCAGTCAAAGGCAGTACCTTTTTATAATTTGTTATAAACGCAACTTTTTCAGAGTATTAATAGTTCAGGGTTATAGTTCAGTTAAATTCAAAAGCTTTATTTAAGTCTCGAGCAACAATGAAGTTTCCCTCGTTTACAATGATGTTGAGAAACGGAGAAACATGCAGAGTTAAAAATACACAATTACTCACTGAAAGCACTTGCACACTGAGGTGAAGTGATTTGAGATCATCGTTGTAAATATGTTGTAGATTATTCAATGCGTTAGGTGGAGAATAAACCTGATTTGAAGCATGAGACAGTTATTTTGTTTATACTTGTTAATGTTGTGAAATTGATGAATTACTCTAGCATTCTTATATTACTCGAGGAACAAAACCTTCTGTTTAGAGAGATGAATAAAGTAAGTTTCTTATCAGGGAATTTTCATATCGCTCAAAAAACTTGCTGGCATGGTAAAAATCTCAGCAACTGAACCAAAACTGTTTAATGTATCTCCCATATTTGTTTTATTACATGATACAGATGATGGTGTGCATTTAAGCTCTTTAATTTCAGTAAATACCATGAAAATAAGGGAGGAATTAAGCTCTACTTTGATCTTAAAGAAATGTAACACAAAGCTCCTGATGCTCAGTAGACACACTGTCCACAAGAAAGAAAAGACCACACTGCCTTAAAATGTGCAAAAGGTTTTAATATCATGGCTATCCATTTTAGTCTTTTTAAGTCACAGTGAACACTGCTCATTTTGTTTTGCATAATCAATCACGTCTACCCTTACTCTGCTCTTTTGCTTGGGAGAAAGGAGCAGGAGTATAAAAAGCCCCATCACCATAACTGTGAGAGATGATTCTCCTTGAATGACCTCCTCTTCCCTCCCTCCCTCCCTCTCTCCTCTCTCAGATGACATGGCGTCCTCAGTACCGCAGCTCCAAGTTCCGCCACGTGTTTGGTAAGGCCGCCACCAAGGAGAGCTGCTATGATGGTGTGCCAATCACACGCAGCGTCCAGGACAACAACTTCTGTGCTGTCAACCCACGTTTCCTGGCAGTCATCACTGAGTGTGCTGGGGGAGGGGCCTTCCTGGTCCTGTCTGTCCATCATGTGAGTATCTCATCCTCATGGCGGACTGATGTCAGCTTTTTAAAGTGGCATACGCACCATTTTACTCAAAATCCTGATAATGAATACTGTGATATGTTTCGTTAATATGTACTCTGAAGGGAGACATTTATCTTGCTACAAGGGGAAATAAGAAAAGTGTGAGAATAGCTTGATCTAGGCCCCTGAATCTCCACTTTTCAAGCAGTTTAATTAGCCCTGATGTTGTGTACACAGATCAGTTTTCAATTCAATTCGATTTTATT